CCTCAGGAATTTGGGGGTTGGACTGGCCTGGGAACCTGTCTAAGGCAGCTGGTGGCCATTCCACTGAGAGATGCAAAGGCAGATGGGGTAGGAAGAGGCCCCAAGGCCTCCTGGGGACTGCACTGAGGAGCTGAGTTGGTCTGGATGCAAAGGATCAGGAAGAGGAAAGGTCAGCCCCAGAGTCCCAGAAAGAGGCTGGAGGGTGGTGCAGACCCAGGAAGCAGAGGGAAGTGAGGGTGGGGCTAGCCCCAGAAGCAGTGCTCCTGGGGCCCAGAGAAGGCACTAGCTTGGTCTGGATGAAAAGGATCAGGGAGGAATATTGGTTCCCCAGTTGTCTAGGGCCCCAAGACCAGGAATGGGGCAGGGCCCAAACTCAGAGGAGAGCACAGTGGCGTAGAGGGAGGGTGAATGAGGCTGGGGCAGTCAAGGCGTGGAGGGTGCAATGGACTTACCCTGGAGAGAGGCCTGCAGGTAGGAGAGAGCCCTGCTGTGGGTCCTGCAGGCCCAGGGAAGCAGAGGGAGGTGAGGGCAGGGCTAGGCCCAGAAGTAGTGCTCCTGGGTTCCAGAGAAGGTACTATGTTGGTCTGGATGAAAAGGATCAGGGAGCAGTATTGGTTCCCCAGGTGTCTGGGGCCCCAAGATAAGGAATGGGGCAGGACCCAAACTCGGAAGAGGGAACAGCCACAGATATGGGAGGGTGAATGAGGCTGGGGGAGTCAAGGCCCAGTGGGTGCAATGGACTTACCCCAGAGAGAGGCCTGCAGGTAGGCGCAGGGGAGAGCGAATACTATAGTTTTAACAAGATAGATCAGCTTGGTTTCTTTCCCATTAAGTAGAAACAACAGAATTTATGCAGTTAACTCAGATGGAAAGGACTCAAATCAAAGGAATGATGTATAAATTAAAGTTTTGGGGTTGGAGAGATGGCTCAGCGGTTAAGAGCACTGACTGCTCTTGCAGAGGACCCAGGTTCGATTCCCAGCATCCACATAGTGGCTACAAACCATCCTTGACTCCAGTTCCAGGGGAATCAACGCCCTCTTCTGACCTCCATGGCACTGCACGACACAGGTACGCTCACATACATAGAGGCAATACGCTAATCCACATAAAATAAAATTTTTTTAAAAATTGAAAAAAAACTTGGCAATAAAGGTTAACTCACACAGGGACAGGATTCCCCAGAACAAGCCAACTAGCTACATTAGCCCTATCAGCGAGCTTTGGGTTCAAGTGAGAGACCCTGCCGCTTAATATGCAATGTGTACAGCAACTGAGGAAGACACCTGATACCAGCCTATGGCCTCCATATGCATCCACACATACAGGTGCCCCCACAACATGAACACACACACACACACGTGTGGGTGTGCACACACATATGCATATCACATATACATACACGTGTGGGAGCGCACACACATACACACAAAGAAAGCAAGAGTAGTATAAAATAAGGTGAGGAAAACAGGAATTTGATCATGTGGGGCTTTGTATTATACAAGCTTGAATTTCTGAAGTAAAACACATAAAATTTATCCTATGAGTCATTTTAAAGTGTTTAATTCAGTGGCATTAACTACATTCATAATGTTATGTAACCGTCACTGTTACTGCCAGTATGTTTTCATTATATCAAAAGGAAAACTCCATACTCTTCAGCAGTTATTTTTCCATTATTCCTTCCCTTAGCTCCTGCAACCACTAATCTTTACTATCTGTATGGACTTATTAATTCTGGAAACTTCATATAAGTGGGATTATACAACATGTGTCTAGCTTCTTTCACTAAGCAGAATGTTCATAAGGTTTATCCAGTTTATAACACAGATTTTCAGTATTTTATTATTTTTTAATGACTAAATATTTTTTATACAGATATACCATATTTTCTTTATCCATTCACCACATGTTGGAAAGTATGTAGAGAAATGGAACCTTAATGTGGTGATATCCACTGTGGAAAATAGTTGGGATTCCTCAGTAAGTTAAACATAAAGTTGCCATATAATATAATAATTTTTCTAAGCATATGTCTATAAGCATCGAAAACAGGTATTCAAACAAAAATAGTACACAGTGTTCATTCCACTTCTCTACATACTTTCCAACATGTGGTGTTTTTGGTTTTAGCTTTTTGTTTTTAAGGGCCACCCCTAGTGAGTAATGATACTTTATACTTCAGATTTTCATTTCCAAAGGAGTTAAGATTTTACTCTGAATGCTTTGGAAAGCCACTAAAAGTTTAGGTAGGATGGAATATGATCTGTTTTATGTTTTAAATCACAAACTTCAATCTAGTCTGTGGAAAATGGATTATCAAGGAAATCAAGAATATAAGGAGACAAATTAGGAAGAGCCAGCAATACACCAGGTAAGAAATGATGATGGATTGTACAAAATGGTAAAAGGACATCAGCAGATTTTAGAATATGTCTTAGAAATAAGGTTGACAAGACCTGAGAATAGACTGAGAAAGAGATAATAATTTTTACAGATTTCTGGTTTGAGCAATTGCATTGGTGAGACAGGAGAGAGGCAGAGTTATGAGAAAATAAACGAGTGCCTGGTGGTTTGAATGAGAATGTTCCCCATAGGCTCAAGTACTTGAACATTTGTCTCCAGTTGGTGGCATTGTTTTGGGAGGTCTTAGAAAGTGTGGCCTTGCTGAAGGAAGTACATCACTGGGGGCAGGTTTACAGAGTTCTTAAGCCTTGCCTATCTCCAGTCACTCTCTGCTTCCTGTGCCCATTTGAACATGTGAGTACTTAGCTTCTGTTCCTCCTGTAGCCACCTCTGCCACCATGCCTCCCTGCCATGATCACTGACTCTTGCCCCTTTGGAATGGTAGGCTAAATAAACTCTGCCTTTTAAAATTTCTCTTGGTCACAGTGTTTTATCACAGCAACAGAAAAGTAACTAGAACAGTGTGTTTGGCTAAGTTTGAGATGCCTCTTACTATATTCATATGGAGTGTTAGTGAGATGGCTCCACAGGTAAAGGCGCTTGCTGCCAAGCCTGGCCACGTGAGTTTGATGCCTGGGACCCACGTGTGTAAGAGAAGAACTGACTCCCACCAATTGTCCTTTGACCTCCACACGAGCACCATGGCATGCAGTTTCCCTCAATAGTAAGCATCATGGCATGCACTCTCCCTCAACAGTTTTAAAAATCCACAAATAGTAGGATGTTAAATGTGGGGTTAACAAAGAGGTCAAAACTGGAGAAATAGATCTGTAAATATTTTGACACATAGTATTTAAAACTATATGATGGGGCTGGAGAGATGGCTCAGTGATTAAGAACACTGTTCTTGCAGAAGACCTGGGTTCAAATCTCAGCACCCACATGGCACCTAACAACTGTCCGTAATTCTGGTTCCAGGGATCTGACAGCCTCTTCTGTTCTCCGTGGGCAATGCATGACATGGGTGCACATCCCTACATGCAGGCAATACATGCATACACATAAATATAACAAATAAAATAAAAACATTTTAAGAAAATAAATTTTAAAACTATATGAAATTTACTAAGGATGAGCTCACAGATAGAGAATAGGGTCCTATACTGAATCCTATAGTATATTACCTATATTCCTGGGTCATCTTATAGCTCTTTATCCTGTTATTTATTCCACACTTCACAGCTCGCTTGTAACTGTTTTCCTTTTCTAGTTCTATGGGAATGCTTTGGCTCTGGACTACCTCTATACCTTCACTTTTGAGAGTATACTGACATACCCTGTTATGCTAACTCTGCTAATCTAAGAATTCAGGCTTCAATTCTGGACAAACTTATGTTTAACTTGCTACTCTGGGACACAACCTTTTAAAAATTTATTATTATTATTATTATTTTGGTTTTTCATTTAATTTTCTCAAGGATTAATTTCTCAAACTACAAAAAATAATATATGTAAGTTGGCTTTAAGGAACTAAGGAACTAAGTGAGACCATATGTTACATCTCTGGCATAATTCTAGCTTAAAATAAGGGTTTACTATACAGTATTACTGGACAGGTGTAGTAGTGCAAGTCTTTAATTCCAGCAGTCAGGAGGCAAGATATGTAGAACTCAAGGAGTTTGAGGTTAGCCTGGTCTACACAGTGAGTTTCAGATAGCTATGGCTACACAGTAAGAGCCTGAGACCCTATCTTATATTGTATAATATAATTACTATTACTAATATATTACTATTAACATTATTTTCTATTAGCCACTGCTGTATGCTTGCCTAATCTTTGTAGGGATTTTTGTGTTTTTGTTTTCTCCCCTTTTTAAAAAAAGCTACGTGGATGGTGTTAAACTTCATGGACTGAGAGTAGCAGGATTAACAGCCGACAGCAACTGCTTACTAGGTAGATGGATGTGGGATGGGATGGAACAAACCACAAGGAGACAAAGGCAGATGATAAATTAGGACAAACTCTATTGCATAACCTGGTGATTCAGAATCATCAAAGAAATACCTGTTAACTGTGGTGCAGTTTATTATCTAACTCACCTGAGTTCAGCTGTGAGATCCTTTATAGTACTGTACTTTTCCTCCAATGATAATTGAGCTTTTTGTAGTACATCTCTCAATTCCTGCAGTTGTCTTAAAGTACTTTTTAATTCTCCACGAGTATTCTGTAGTTCAGTTTCTAGTGCTTCCCGCTTCTGCAAGGTCTCTGTTAGCTCAGCCTCAGTGTGGTGCTGTAACCTCTCTAACTCCTTCACTATTAAGAAGATAGAAACATTTTGAAACTATATGTAAATCAGAAGTTATTAAGAACTTTATTAATAATCATAATTAATATTCAAAGGGCTTAGGAAGATGGCTCAGTTGGTAAAGTACCTACAGTACAAACCTGAGGACCTGAGTTTAGATCCTTAGCACCTACACAAAAGCCTGGTGCAGAGGTATACCTGTAATCTCAGTGCTGGGAGATGGGTGGGAGAGGGCAGTGGAGACAGCCTTACCAATCAGTGAGCTCCCGCTTCAGTGAGAGGCCCTGCCTCATAAGATAAGGTGGTGAACAACTGAGGAAGACACTCAGCTTCGAATTCTGGCTTCCAAATGCACATACACACAAGGGACACACCCACATAAACAAGCACATAACACATATGCACACACACACACACACATCCACATTCAAGCTGAGGGCTAGAATTTTAGGTCAGTTAGTGGACTGCCTACCTGGTACACACAAGACCCTGGGCTTGATCCCCAGCACTGCATAAACAGGGCATGTTGATACAACCTATAACCCTAGCACTCAGGATGTGAGGGCAGGATGAGCAGAAGTTCAGGATCATCCTCTGCTACATAATGAGTTCTGAGGCCAGTCTAAGATATCAAAAAAAAATTTCAATCTAATAGAACTTTGTAAATAATTATAAATAGTATCTAATTTTATTCATCTATAAGAGGCAAAATACGGGGCTGGAGAGATGGCTCAGCAGTTAAGAGCACTGACTGCTCTTGCAGAGGACCCAGGTTCGATTCCCAGCACCCACATGGTGGCTACAAACTGTCCTTAACTCCAGTTCCAGGGGAATCCAAAGCCTTCTTCTGACCTCCTCAGCATTGCACGACACGGGTACACTCACATACATGTAGGCAATATACTTGTACACATAAAATAAAAATAATAAATATTTTTTTAAAAAGAGGCAAAATACTGAACACTGTCCCTTCCAGCCCCATCATCCCAACTTTTCACTTTTTTTACTTCATTTAAATATCAATACATACAATTTGTATTTAAGCTGAATTCAACTACCCAGTTCTTACCTGTATTTGTTTTCTTTTCTAGTTCTGTCTTTGTTTGATCTAAAATCATATCTAACTGAGAGAGATGCATTGATTTATTTTCTCCATCCTGTCTTAGGTGCATTATTTCTTTCTCCATTTTAGACAGCTCCTCTTTGTACTGATCCATCTCAAGTTTTACTTGTCTAATTAAAATCAAACAATAGAACAGGTCATTTGGAAACTTAAAACCAGAAAACTTGTCTCTAACTTAAAAAGTCTGAAAATCTATTAGGATATTAGCAAAATGTCTACACAGAACCTTAAGTCATCTAGTATTCTTTATAAAATTTCATTCTTTTATTTTATTTTATTTTATTTTTTATTTTATTTTATTTTTTGGTCTTTTTGAGCCAGGGTCTCCCTGTAGCCCCAGCTGTCCTGGAACTCACTATGTAGACCAGGCTGGCCTTGAACTCACAGAGATCTACCTGCTTCTGCCTCCCCTGAGTGCTGGGATTAAAGGCGTGCGCCACCATACCTAGCTCATTTATTATTTTTATTATTTTTTATGTGTATGAGTATATTCCCTGCATGTGTGTAAGTGCACCTGTGTTGTGCAATGCCTGCGAAGGTCAGAAGAGGGTGTCACAGCCCCTGAAACTGGAGTTACAGATGGTTTTTAGCTGCCATTTGGATGTTGGGAATTGAACCCAGGTCCTTTGCAAGAGCAGCCAGTGCTTTTAACCTCTGAGCCACCCCTCCAGTCACCATCTAGTATTCTTTAAAAAATTCTCTAACTAAAAGATTATTCTTCTTTACACATGACATATCACTGAAAAATAAGGCTAGCATTTGGTTCGGCTTAACTACATATGACTTATCACTTGTAGTGATTCTCAGATATTGAGAACAGGCAAGGATAGACATCTGGTATATTTCTAATTATCTGAAACAAACAAGAGGCTAAGTAGCCAAATTATTTATTATAAAGACCATATTACTTGCCCGGAGTCAGCCATTTCTATTTAAGGCTTTATTACTAGGATTGTCTTACTAGCTTTAAAAGTGACTAGAAATTCCTAGATTGTATGGCTTTCCCTGCCACACAGACGAGAGAACTGGAAGACTAGGTAAATTTGTCTGAGGCAACACACCAGATATTAATAGTAAAAGCGAACAGAGCAGGTTTCCTTTCAGTCAGCCTGGAGTTTATTCCAACATGGAAGGTATTCTATTTATAGATAAATCAACATATCAAGAGGCGGTTTCAAGTTCCTTTGCTGGAGACTTAAATTCCACAATGATATTCACTGTAGTATCAAAACAACTGATAATGTTATTGTCAACGGTGATCAGTTTATGCTTCTTTGGGCCAGTTGTTATTATTATTTGTTTTGTTCTTTTAGTCTTGAAACATTCCTAAAATTATTATTTGTTTTGTTCTTTTAATCTTGAAACATTCCTAAAATGGGTTTGTAGGTAGGAACATTCTTTCCTAACTGCTGGGGCCGGAGTGTGCAGTTCAAGTGGTAGAGCCTATACTTAGCATAAAATGAGGCCCTGGGTTCAGACTCCAGCACCAAAAAAATCAATACACAAATAAATTTCAACAAATTTGGATTTTTTTGTTTGTTTGGTCTTTCTTTTTGGGACAGGGTCTCCCGGTAGCCCCAGCTGGCCTGGAACTGGAACTCACTATGTAGACGAGGCTGGCCTCGAACTCACAAAGATCCGCCTGCCTCTGCCTCCCAAGTGCTGGGATTAAAGGCATGTGCCACCACACCCGGCTAGTTTTATTTTTAATTTATTTACTTTTTGTTTTTTGAGACAGGGTCTCCCTATAGCCCCAGCTGGCCTGACTCTTGCTATGTAGACCATGCTGGCCTCAATCTCACAGAGATCTGCCTGCCAGTACTTCCTAAGTGCTGGGATTAAAGGCATGTACCACCACACCTGATTTAAACCCCTTTTTTAAAAATCCAAATTTGGCCAGGCGTGGTGGCACACACCTTTAATCCTAGCACTTGGGAGGCAGAGGCAGGCAGATCTCTGTGAGTTCGAGGCCAGCCTGGTCTACATAGTGAGTTCCAGGCCAGCTGGGGCTACAGGAAGACCCTGTCTCAAAGACTAAATAAATAAATAAATAAAAAACTAAAATAAAAGGGGGTTTTAAATCTGAACTCCATGACTGAACTTGAGGAACATCCTGAAACAGGATGCAAAATTAAGTGTGTGTGTGTGTGTGTATAGATAATCTATAGTTTTTAACAATTTTTTATTATTTTTATTTTATGTGTATGAGTGTATTGCCTCCATGTGTGTAAGTGCACCTGTGTCATGCAATGCCTGTAGAAATCAGAAGAGAGTGTCAGATTCTCTGGTACTGGAGTTAAGATCAGTTGTTAGCCACCATGTGAGTGTAAGAATTAAACCCAGGTCCTCTGCAAGAGAACCCAGTGTTCTTAACCACTGTGCCATCTTTCCAGCCCCTAAATATTTTACTTTCAATTGTATTTATATATGTCAAGTCCCCATGGAGGCCAGAGGTGTCAGATCTCCCACAAGCTGGAGGTACAGGCTGCCTAAACTGGTTACTGGGAATTGAACTTGGGTCCTTTGGAAGAGCAACAAAGTGCTCTTAACTGCTGAGCCACCTCTCCAGCCCAATATTCTACAGTTTTAAAAACAGATATGTAAGGGCTATAGAAATGACTCAGCAATTAAGAGTCTTGGCTTTTCTTGAAGAGAACCTGGGATCAGTTCCCAGCACCCACATGATGGTTAACTACAGTCCAGAACTTCAGTTCCTGAGGATATGACACCCTCTTTGGGTCTGCAAAGACATTGTATGACATTCTGTGGGTGTACTTATAACTGAGGCAAAACATTTATATACATAAAATAATTTTTTTAAATTAAAAACAAAAGACAGATCTTCAATCATGTTCACGGCAAAACTAACATAAAGCTACTACATTTGACAAGTGGGCCTTGGAGCATACTAAACTATGTCCCAGAATATTAACTCTTTTACATTTCTAAAAACCCAGGGAAATTTTTAGATTACCTCCTGGTTTCTAACATTAGAAGAGAATAATCAAAAGAAGTGCTAAGAGGTGATAGCTTGTCAGTACTAAGTCCTCATAGCAAAGAAACTGGGGAAAATTTATGAAAAACACATGTAAGAACTCAAAAAGCCCAGATGTCTACAGTCATTTAGTAAGATAACAAACAATGCTCTATATGCTCCATATGCCTCAAGGCTTCATTAGAGGAGCAATGTATTTTAGCATGCTTTAATAACTGATATACATAATGATTATCCAGAGGAGGCAAAAATGCAAACAGAACGTATTTTTGGAAATTTCCATGAGAACAAAAACCTCTTGTTTAGGAACATGTCTGAACTCTGTACTCATAACCTAATGAGAGGTCTCCATGTTTCATCGTCCTCATTTTAAAAGCTGTAAGAAAACCATGTCTAGGGTTGTTTTGAAGTTAAAGTGTCAACCCAGAACATTTCCTAGACCAAAGGTACTCAATAAATTTGTTTCTTTTCTATCTTAAAGACATTTTATAAAAAGCAGACCCAAGGATGCATACACAGATATATTTTAGCTTTAATACTTTGGGAGAAAAGAAGTTTTACAAATTGGAGTTTCAGAAGCAAAGACAAACAAACAAAAAAACACACATTAAAAACGAGTAATAGTGGGAGCAGAGAAGCCTCTTCATGAAGTGCTAGGGTATAGCTGTCTTATGAAGTTTAATCATTAATTCATGAGTTTCCTATCAGTATGCAGGAAAGCCCTATTGGACATGACCATTAGTTATATTTAAGAAGTTTTTGGTGTGACTGTCCAAAATTCAAAAAAGTAAGAGCCATAAGAAAAAGACATAAAAGTAGGGGGGGAGGTTAGTTGGGAATAGAAAAGGGATTAGAGGGTATGAAAGGGGCTCAAAAGAGGGTGAATATAATAAAAATATTTTATGTACATGTATGAAAATATAATTAAGCCTACTGATATATATGATTAATATATGCTAATAAAACATTTTAAAGTAAGGCTTTAAAAAGGATGAAACAGCCAGCTGTAGTGGCACACACCTTTAATCCCAGCACTCAGAACCAGAGGATAGAGGACTGCTGTAAGATGGAGAGGCCAGCCTGGGACAGTCTGCCTAGGGAGTTCCAGGTCAGTTAGAAGACCTCATCTCAAAAACAACAACAAAGGATGAAGCAAATGCTTCATTTGTTCTAAAGGAGGAGAAAGGGCTATAGTTAGAAAGGCACTGGGGACGAGTTAGGGGCATTCTGAAAGAAGAGGGAAAGGTACAAAAGCAATCTTCTATTAAAAAAAAAAAATTTAGATTGCCAGGCAATATTAAGGGAATACTTAAGATTTTAATTTAAAGTAAAACTAGTCAACATGATTATATTTTTCTCTGGCTTCTGTAAAGCAGTCTAGATTTGTGTGTGCGTGTGTGTGTGTGTGTGTGTGTGTGTGTGTGTCTGTGTCTGTGTCTGTGTCTGTGTGTGTGTGTGTTCTTGTGTGCAATGTGTGTGGAGGCCACAGGTCAACATCAAGTGTAATTTTTGAGAAAGGGTTTCCCACTGAACCTGGAGCTCACTGTTTAAGCTAGGTTGGCTGGCCATCAAACCCCAGGGATCTTCCTGTCTCTGCCTCCTTAGTGTTGTGATTACAAGAGCATGCTACTGTGCCTGGCTTTCTATGTGGATTTGGGGGATCTGAACTAAGGCTTTCATGTTTGTGTGGAAAGCACTTTACCAAGTGAACCATCTCCCAAGCCCCGAGTTGGACCTGTAACTCTGTGATTTCTAACCTAAAGAGAAAAATGAGAAGGTGATTTGTAATTTTAATGACTAACCCGATTTTATGGTCAATAAAATAGTGGTATGGTGGCACAAACCTGTAATCTCAGTACAGGAGAGCCTGAGGCAGGAAGTTTGTAAGTTTGAAAGTAGCCTGAGCTACATAGTAAGACCTGTCTAAAAAGAAAAAGGGCAGCAGAGAACAACACAATGGTGAATATTGGAAATATATGACTAAAACGGAATCACTAGAGAGGAGTGATTTTAAAAAAGAAAATAGCACATCATGTGGGATCGATAGTTGTCTACTGACTAACCAGAGGTTATACTAGAGAGAATAACATTAAACCAGGTGGTCTATAAACATCAACAGCAAGGAATGATATGATCTGATGGTATTAGTTCAGAGTATACTCCATACCTTGACTTTGTGGTAGAAGAGAATGGAAATAAGTTTTGACTATAGAGGCCTGTAAGGGAACAAGTAATATCCTCAGGGTAATGTAAACTTTCTATTATAGCAAGAGAAAACAAAAGGTGGAGAATACAGGGGCTAGCTCTCAGACAGTCTATGAATTCCAGAACGTACAATGAAAGTCTTTCAGAAGTTGAAATGGGATGGGAAAAAAGAGCAATGAGGCTTGGCCTGAAAATCATTTCTTGTGTTTGAAACAAACAAAGGTAAAGCTATAATGTGATTAGTTTTCAAGGCCTCAAAATAATCACTAGTGATAAGACTGTGTTAGTGGCTAGACATCAGTCACCGGGAAAGAGAAGTCCTGAAGAATTATGTCCTATCCTAAAACATGGGACATACACTTAACCCTAGTGAGAGGGGAAGAGATATCTGGTCAAGCAAGTTGCTACTCTAAGCCCAGAAGCCCTGTCTTAAGCCCTGTTAGTGGGGGGAGAGAATCTGGGGACATGTGGTTTTAGTGTCTGCATATAAGTTCCCACTTGATGCCTATTGGTATAAAGAAGGGTAGACTTATGATGAGTATATTATCATGTCAATTCTTATTGACAAAGTAGAATCTACATAAGCTAAGTATTGATTTCAGCACAAGGATTACTTTCTTGATGAATGAAATAGTGAAGTCTGGGCCTAGTCTAGTCCTATTAAATCAGGATCTTTAGATGTGATTTAATCTAAAGGTGGTACTTAGTCATCAATAGTTTTTACAAGCTTCTGAGATGATTTTAATGTCCAAACAAGGCTGAGAATGGTTTTAAATTATTTCTCTCATAATTAGATCCCCCGAAAGTTTCCTCTGTATGAGGAGAGCTTTGCCTGCAACTTTCAACATTACTTGTAATTTAATACAGCAGTTGCTGAGTGCCTATGAGGTATAAGGATCTGTGTTAGTTGTGCCAACTACCAACTATTGTGGAAAATCATAAAATAAGCCAGATAGGATCCTTATTTCAAGGTAAGAAAGCTAAGGCAAGCCAGGTGTGGTGGCATACGTCCTTAATCCCAGAACTTGGAAGGCAAAGGCAGGTGGATCTCTGTGATTCCGAGGACAGCCTGGTCTACAGAGTGAGTTCAGGCCACCTGGGGCTACAGGGAGACCCTGCCTCAAAAAAAAGAAAGCAAGCAAGCTAAGGTACTACATTATAATTTTTAAAAAGTGCAGAGAATAAGAGACTGCAGAGTACTTATCTTTGAATTAGACACCTAGATCAAACCTTGCCACCCAAGGCTCAGGGTCCATTGCAGAAGAGGGGGAGGAAAGACTGTAAAAGCCAGAGGTGGTAGATGAACACAAAGAGATGGCGATTTCCAGAGAGCTGGGAAGTTACTCATATGAAGTCATAGCAATGGTAACACCATGCACAAGACCCATGCAAGCTCAAGCAAGACAGAATCCCAGCACAGAAGTGGGGAAGTGGGTAAGAAGCTCCAACCTTAGCTAAGGAACTATTGGCAACCAATAACTGCTGGGAGAGAGAGTTTTCTTTAAGGATATGATTCTGGAGAGGCTAACCAGACTCTGATGGGTAGATGCACACTAAAGGACATTGGGGACACAAACTTGATCTGATAGGCCTTAATATATATGACAGAGTACGTGAAATCTGGCAGGAGAGGCTGTAAGAGGGTGCAGATAGGGGAGGAGGTTTAAATGCGATCAAAAGATATTGTAAGAAATCTTCAAAAATTCACCACACACACACACACACACACATACACACACATATACACCTGTCTTCTGAACATGATACATGGCTGTTGTCCTCATGAACTCACAGCAGCTTTGGTTACCTGCACGAGACTGGGCACTTCAATATTTCATTGACGGTGGAGGAGGAGCTCTTTAGCTGTATAACCATGGGTCAGTTGCCCAGGCTCCAGTACATAACCTCCACCCATAGTCATGTAAGAATCTCTAATGAAACTCAATGGGTCGCACATACACACACACACACACACACACACACACACACAAGATATGAGGGGTCTGAGGGAGATACATACAAACTGCTACAGGAACAAAGGCTATGGAGAAATTAATTCCTCAGGTAAACATTTCACTGGTCATCAACTAATTCTGAAACTCAGATGTTACTAATATGAAAATGAGACAGTCAATAAAACTAACATACACATTTTACCTGGCAGTACTAGTTAGCTCAATAATTTTTTGCCTTTTCAAATCTGCATCATGTGTGGCTGTTTTGTACTTCTCTTCCATTTTCCTCAACTTTTCGGCTGAGCTCTCCCTTTGTTTTTGAAGCTCTTGTTCCTGCTTTGATACCTGGTAAAGCAGTTTACAGTAAGAATTCAATTAAATTATAGGTCAACATTATCCAGAAGAAAAATATTTCATTATAAATATATAGCCTAGCCCATCAGTCAGTTTCAACATGTATTACAAAAAGCAAAGTGAGTTGGGCATGGTGGCACACACCTTTAATCCTAGCAGTGGGGAAGCACTGATCAAGGTCAGTCTGGTCTACATAGTGAGGTCCAGGCCAGCCAGGGCTACATAGTGAAACCCTGACTCAAATGAAAATAAATAAAAAATAAAAATTAAGCCGGATGTGGTAGCACACACCTTTAGTCCCAGCACTCGGAAGGCAGAGGCAGGAGGATCTCTGTGAGTTCAAGGCCAGCCTGGTCTACATAGTAAGTTCCAGGACAGCTGGGGCTACAGGGGGACCCTGCCTCAAAAAGACAAATAAATGAATAAGTAAATAATTAATAAATAAATAAATAAATGAAAGAATTAAAAAATCAAAGTAAAGTTGGTGTGTGTTGCAGCATGTACCTATAATCTCAACCACTGGGGGAGCTTGATCTGGGAGGATCACTTGAGTCCCAGGAGTTCCAAGTTAGTCTAGGCAACACCTAAAAGATGCCATGGGGCTGGAGAGATGGCTCAGCAGTAAAGAGCACTGGCTGCTTTTGCAGAGGACCCAGGTATGATTCCCAGTATCCAAAAGGCAGCTAACAACTGTCTAAAACTCCAGTTCCAGGGGAATCCAATGCCCTCTTTTGACCTCGGTGAACAATGCACAACATGGGTACACTTACATACACATAGGCAATATACTCATACACATAAAATAAAAATAATAAATATTAAAAAAGACTCCATCTCAAAAACATAAACAATAATAAAATCAAAATATAAACCAGGATGCTTTGAAACTATAAAAGCAAAACTGATTTTTTTTTTGAGACAGGGTCTCCCTGTAGCCCCAGCTGGCCTGGAACTCACTATGTAGACCAGGCTGGCCTCAAACTCACAGAGATCCACCTGCCTCTGCCTCCTGAGTGCGGGATTAAAGGCATGCACCACCATGCCCGGCAAAACTGACTCTTTAATAATAATTTGTTCATATAAATCTTTACAGAAGTGGCCACATCATAACAACAAAATAAGAGTTATGGGAGCTGGACAAGACTTGTGGTATAGCTCAGTAACATCGTACTTGCCTACTTCATGTGAATCCCTGAGTTCATGCCTCATCAGAAGAGGAATGAAGAAAGAAAGGAAGGGGGTAGGGAGAGAAAAATGAGCAAAATAATAGTAAAAATTCCTTTCTATTATCCCAATTTGAAAAGTTCTTTCTTCTCATGTTAAAAAAAATAAGGGAGATATGGATAAAAATTGGGATAGTTTAAGGGAGGGGGGAGGGAAAGGTATACAAGGAACCTAGTGGATAAAGGGAAAGAAGGAGCTCAAGAGAGGTAGGACCATAGGAGAAGGGTATTATTAAGGGAGAAAGGCGGAAAATGGGAGCACCTTAATTAGGGAAACCATGATGGAGGGGTTAGACAATGTGAAGGATAAATAATG